AAAAAAAGAAAATGCATGCATAAGAATAGATAAGACCCCATCGGTAAAAGAAAAATGATAAAAAAACAAATTTATAAATCGTCATGGAAAAACAAGTATATAAACAAAAAATATAAAGAAAATTAATACTTTGTACATACGCGTATAAAGACAAAGCTTAACTTAGTAAATATCTTTTAAGGAATGGCATAGTTCTACGAAGTAAAACTAACAAAAATATGATTAAGTAAAAAGGTTAATAGAAATGTGAAGATAATAAGTAAATTAAAAGTACTGTAAGTAAAAAATGAAAGAAGAACAACTTTGAACAATAAGTTTAAAATAACTTATTTTAAAATAACTTAAGACATAATTGGAAAAATGTCAAAATTTTGTGTTTGCGAATTTCGGTTGTATTAACATATGAGCTTATATGGGTGTAATTGCCAAACTTATTTTTTAGCTTGAACAATTTTGACAGCAACACCACCAATATATAGTATGGAAACAGAAATATATATGTACATATAATTTATTAATTTTTGTCAAAATTTCTGAATTTTTCGAAATTTATATTTTTTTTAAGAAAATGTGATACGCTACAATTGTAATCTATTCATGTGCTTAAGAGAAACAATAATAATGAAGATGATACATTTCCTGTTTACACTTATTAAGTAAGCTTTTATTTACTTAATAAGTAATAGTTAATATTTATTATTAAAGTTATTATCTAATAGTTATTATATAAACTATTAAAAATTGGCAACTTGAAAGATCTGATCAGGGGCGAAATTATTCCATTTGCATGTACACCATTTGCTGTATTCCATTTGCATGTACACTCATTCGAGCTGTGAGGATCACAAATGATTTCTTCAGATGCGTCCCTTGTTATTTTTCTTGTTGTTGATTTATAATGGTCATATGTTGTTCCAAAGATCTTAGGCGATTGGTAGGAGCTTCGCTTACCTTTCTCACCACGTTAATGGTAGAGTCAACAATAGAGACTTGGTTTTTGACCAGCTGAAGGAGAAATCCTCGTAGCCTTTTACCTTTGCAATAATTTTGACCATACCTTCTGCGTACGTGGAATCAAGTATGCCGAATAATTTATTAGCTACATTTCCAATGGTATTACCGGTAATCGATGTTGTTGGGAGTGATGCATTAAGGTATTTCCTGACTTAAGCTCCGCGAACAGATGGTTATAAAATTGATCTGCAGGATGCCGTGTCTTTCAATTTTTGGCACTTATGTGAAAGTTTACTCAATCCAGCTGAGAGAAACTTCATGACCTTCAAAATGGGTCGTAGTAGACTATCATTGTCCACTCTGAGACTACCATTCTCGTTGTTTCCAGACTGTCGTACTACAGGCTTGTTGCTCAACCAGTTATTTTTATTGACTGTACCATGACCAGTGGAAACTGCAACACAAGTGCTAGTATTATGTGTTTTGGTGAAAGGCTTTCCCTTTTGCGTTGTGTGGGGGGCTCCTCAGACTGTTCAGACTTACTGGTAGTGTCCAAGGGGCGCATGTTGTTGATTTCTTCTGGAAACAGGGGAGCTAACCGCACCACTGGTCTCTTGATAATTCGAGATGACGTTTTGATGTCAACTACCCGGACGAAATTATCGGGTCCAGGATTTGTTTTGAAGACTCGTCCCATTGGAAAACTCATCATAGGCATATTATCTTCCCTTTGCAATTTCTTTTTAATAATTTGAGATGCATGCTTCCAATTTTGGCAATTTTGCAGCTCTTGCAGGTACTCACACGAAGGCAAAAATACCAAACCATAAAATCAAAAATTGTTATGTAAATTTGTTGTAATTGTTAATTTTTAATGTAATAATTTTGCGCTTGTTCCTATGGAGATGGTTCTCATTCCTCTGGAGATGGTTTCTTTTAGGATGGTAAAGTTAAGCATTAATCTTGTCAGACTCTATGCTTGAGAAGTGCTGCGCACAATTGCAGTCAAGGTAATGATTGCTTTGTTGCAGATGCCACTCTGGGTATAGAAGCCTTGTCAAGGCTTGCTAGTTTTTATTCTGACTGGAGATCTAACAGGAGTTCATCCTCCCAGTCTATTTTAAATTCTTAGAGGTATTGCATGAAGAGGTATTTTATGAAGATTTATGCCTTCAATTCAACTGGCTTAAATAACTGTATCGGGTCGAGGACAACCTTTGAATTTTTGTGTTCTTCCGCAAATATAGTATTTGTTGGTCATTCGTATGAGCCCAAGGGTTCTGACATTGAATGGATCCAGCGTTTTAACCAGTTTCACGTCGCACACAGTATCTTCCTTAGGTACTTCCTGCAAAAGGTCTGCATTGTTTGAGCACCATTTTCGAAGTTTGAAGGCGTAGCATGTAGGCGTAATACTTTCTTGAGTTCCCTTTAGATTTGAATTGTTTTGGCGACTAAATTAGCACACGTCAAATAGCACCCGGGCGTTCTTAGCGCCGTAGATGACTGTGCTAAGTCAGTAGTATCTGAGGTCTTCACTAAACTATTAGTTGATTAAATTAATCATCCGAGTTGATTCATACTTGCCGTGAATACATCCTAACGCACTGCTTTTCTAACTCGAATGCGCGTTAGCCAGTCTGACTCAGGAGTTCGCCACCAAAAACCGTGCATCGTGCCTCCGTAACTTCAAGGAAACACCGCGCATACGCACTAGCAAGTCCGGATCGGGAGTTCGCCATTAAAGACCAAGCGTCGCACCTCCGCTACACCAAGAAAACAACGCGCGTACGCGCTAGCGAGTCCGGATCGGGAGTTGGCCGCTGGTCGTCCCGCCTCCGCTACACCAAGGAAACATCGCGCATAAGCGCTGGCAAGTCTGGATCGGGAGTTGACCGCTGGTCGTCGCACCTCCGCTACACCCAGGAAACATCGCCCATACGCGAGTTATACAATTGTCATCACTACCCCCCTAATACACCCTACACTCTACCCGCTAATACACAACTTCTAATAAGGCCAACGTTGCAATCTAAATTAATGTAAACAATAGCAATGGTAAAACACAGAAACCCAATAACAAATATGCAGAGTGAATCCAAAGATTTAAACACACTCGCAACTTAGAACCCAGACTCTGCAATCTGAAATCATATTACACCTAGCACTTAAGCACCTAGTAAAATCCGAATAATAATAATATTCAGCAAAACCAAAGCCCACTTAATTTAAATAATAATTATAACAGAAATCATAGCCAAAACATTCGACAAAATCCTTTAGCGGCAATGAGTATGTATAACTTAACCGAAGAGGAAAATAATAAAAAATTAAATGAACCCCCAAGGATTTTTTTATTTGGACGCCTCGAAAGAACAATTGAGGACTGTACATTTTTATTTTTACTGGACACAGGATCCACAATTATGATAGTATACTTAACGGCATTAAAGTTAATAAAAATTTTTACTAAATTATAATAATTATTAAGCAAAATTCAAAAATAATTCATACTGTTAACACGAAATTTCAAACCAACGATTTCTTAGTAAAACAAGAAAAGAAAGCTAACTTCGGGCGAAAGCCTCTGCAAGGGTATAAAAATAAGTACCAAGGGATATTTGATATTCCCAAAATATGCGTGCAAAATGGGTGGCTTTGTAACGAACAGTCGACCTGGTGAGGTGGCATCTTTGGACTAACGGCTGAGATAAGGGGTTGCACGCGGTTGCCAGCTAGGCCTCGTCGGCTAATGGATGGGTCATATAGGGCCCCCTCTCTCCCTGATGCTTACCTCGAAGATCATAAATTCTATCGTTAGTATCGTATCGCGAAGGCCAAACATAGTCCTCTCAAAACAGATTTTATTTAGATCCTCAAGATCCTCGAGAACGCAAAAGTTGGGGGTGGTACAGCGGCAAGGCGGTGGCGAATTAAGCGAGGCGAATTATTTTTCTTTTATCTCATTATAAAATTCATGTTTATTAGGCTTAGGTAATTTTATACATTTACCTTTTCCCCATCCCTGTTTCCCCTTACTTAGCTAAAAAACTCAGTTTTCCTTCTTGGCTTACGTATCTACCAACTAGATGCTAGGTTAAATGATCGAAATTGAAAAAACTTAAAATAGTAGCGCGGGGGCAATGAATTCCAATGTAATATATCTTAGAGTTAGCTTAAATTAGGGAATTAACGAATAATATTTCATTTCATGTATCTCTTTCTCTGTTCTCCAAATAATAAAATTAAAATTACACCCTCAAGCTCTTCTGCACCGCTTCGTGGTGAAAGGCTTACTGTGCCTGGCGTATGTGGATTCGCTGCGTATCTGCGCGTTTTTCTATAATGGACTCAGCCGTCTTTTTCCGCGAGCTAGCATTACATAAGAACGGTTCGGCGATGCCCTTGTTACATTTTAGGATCGGGCTCTTTATCGGATTGCTCGCGGTGTCTATGGCGAAGGCAACCGTCCACTTGGTGGACCCCCTTCGGCCGGGAATCGGACGATGCGGTAGTTTGACGACCGGACCGGTAGTTTGTTCCGCGTCGCTTCGTGCGATAAATATTCCGATATTCCCTCTTTTGGATCTCGGATACGGCCCTAAAAAGTCCACATAAATTCTCTGGAAGAATCTCTGCGTCTCTGCTGGCCTTTCCGTCGCGGGTCTCGTTATTTGCTTGGGTACTGTTATGTATGCGACTGGATTCTCTCGTGCGGCGATCTCGTTCGACTGAAGTCAGTCTTCACTCAATCGTGAGCCACTGCAGATCGAGCTGCAGTCACGGCCATCCATCATTTCCCCGTCATTATAATAACCCCCAGTACTAATTGTTACTTCCATTTTCATTACTGAATTATATTGAATAAATTTAATATATGCTTGCGCATACATAAAATTGGCGACGAGGATGGGATTCTAATCCCCGAGCGTAAGCTAATTAAATTCAACAGTTATCGTACAGGGAGAAAGAGAGACGGAATTGACGGTGACGAGTATTTACCGTACGTCCAATTGCGGTAGTCGTATTATTCTTGAAGCAAGCACATGGATAAGCGCCGAGCTTTTGGTCAAGCTGAGAAAAGCTCCGGCGAAGAGGTAAAACAAGAAATAAGTGATAATCAATCAACTCCACGAGGGAGTCTCACTGAGAGCGGCTGTACAGTTGAGCCAAATACTACGGCCAGTACGGATAAGCGGAAAGCGGTTTTCCAAACTTGCGGAGTCGCCATGGCGGGAGTTGGAACTCTGGAACCTTTCGACTTGCTAACCCCTGGGAAATGGAAGGCGTATCGAGATCGCTTCGAGCTGTACCTTTTAGCGAATGGCATCATGGACAAGGATCGGAAGAAGGCGGCGTTTCTTACACTAGCGGGCGCACCCCTTTATGAGTTACTAGTGTCGTTAGCATCACCCAGGCAAGTCAGTGATTTGGAATTAACAGAAGTCTATGATATATTAACCAGTCACTTGGTACCACGCCAATCGGAGATTGCTGCATTCTACCATTTCCACAAGCGTGATCAGCAACCCGACGAGTCCGTCGGTAACTACATGGCCACATTAAGAAGCCTGGCGGTAGGGTGCAATTTCGGGCAGATGCTGGATCGCATGTTGCGGGACCGATTTGTGTGTGGCATGCGCGACGAAGGTCTTCAGCGAAGCCTGCTAGCCGACCCCGAATTGACGGTGCAGCGGGCCATGGAACGAGCCGTCACTAGTGAAGCAGCCGCTGCGAGTGCGTTGTCGATTCGAGGCGACAATATCCGACGCCTCGAGTCTTCGAGCACCGAGTCCATCCACGGAATAAGTTCGAGTTGTGCGGGTTGTGGGGGTCGGCAAGTCCGTAAGAAGTGCCCGTTCCGCAACGCCACTTGTCATTCCTGTGGTCGAACTGGCCACATACGTCGGGTATGCCGCAGTAACAGTCAAGCTGGGTCAACAAAATCGTCATCTCCTACGCCCAGTAATATGCGTAACAACAGGCCATCGCACGGACGCGTTCATCAAATAGTTCCGGTGGTCAGCCCCAAGAAATCTGTGGCCGTGGTCATCAACGGTCGATCATGCCAGTTCGAAGTGGATTCCGGGTCGCCCGTCACCATCATGAAGGAGTCTTCGTATCGATACATCTGGCCAAATGGTAATCCCGATCTCGTCAAGTGCCACCTAAAGCTAAGCGACTATCAACGTAACCCCATTCCGGTCAAGGGAATCACCGACACGTCAATCCACTACAACAATCGCCGTATCTGCAATCTGCCATTGGTCGTCACGTCCGGCACCGGGACAAACCTTCTAGGATGCAACTGGTTTGAACCCCTCGGAATCCGCATAGAAGGCATTCATGGCGTGCAGTGCGGCAATGGTATCGCGGAAATTCTAAGAAAATTCGACCATTTGTTTTCATCAGAACTTGGCCGGTATACGGGGCCGCCAGTGGCCCTCAAAGTGGACCAGGAAGTTCCGCCGGTCAGACTACCACCGCGTCGAATTCCTTACGCACTCCTCAAGCCATATGAAGAATATGCTATTAGATAGAAGGAGGCTCAATTTTCGCAAAAATAGATTTGGCCCAAGCGTATCAACAATTGGTAGTAGACGAGAAATCAGCTTTGATGCAAACAATCGCTACTCACAAAGGAGCATTTAAGGTAACAAGACTACAATTCGGAATTTCAGCTGCCCCAGGAATATTCCAAAGCTGCATTGAAAGAATACTGCAAAATATACCGGGCGTCCTTCCGTATTTTGACGATATTGTAATTATGGGTAAATCAGAAGAAGAACTTGCGAGTAGATTAGGCGAAGTGCTAGCCCGTATGGACCAGGCAGGATTACGTCTGCGCAAGGACAAATGTCAGTTTGGGGTATCTTCCATCGAATTTCTTGGATTCAAAGTTGACGCTCTCGGCATTAGGCCATCAGCCGACAAAGTTTGAGCCATCCATGAGGCGCCACCACCAAAAGAGAGAAAAACAGTTGCAAGCGTTTCTGGGACTGACCAATTTTTATCACTCATTTTTGCCCCAGAAAGCCACCATTGCGGAGCCATTACATAGACTTCTAGACAAGAACGTACAATGGACATGGCGTCCAGAGCACCAAAAAGCATTCGCAGAACTAAAGAATCTGATCGCATCGGATGCGGTCCTAATTCATTACTCTCCGGACCGCCCACTGATCTTAACTTGCGATGCGTCACCATACGGGTTAGGAGCAGTGCTTAGCCACGAAATGGAAGACGGAACACAGAAACCGATTGCGTTTTACTCTCGCACGCTGTCAAAGGCAGAGAGGAACTACTCCCAGATCGACAGAGAAGCGGTAGCCTTGGTCGCAGGTGTCAAAAAATTCCATAACTATTTATATGGAAGAAAGTTCACGCTTATTACAGATCATCGCCCACTGCTTGGAATTTTTGCGACAGAAAAGCCAATCCCTCAAATCATTTCCAACCCGATGATGCGTCGAGCAATATTTTTGAGAGCGTATAAATTCAAGTTGATTCATCAGCCTGGAACCAAAATAAGTAATGCAGATTTCCTAAGCCGCTGGCCAACGTCGGATATACACTATGAGCCTAGAACGGAAGAAGTTTTCATGATCGAATGGGCAACTGATCCCACTGTCACCGCGAACACCCTAGCTACCAACACGTCTAAGGATTGCAGCCTCAGAAAGGTGCTCAACTGGGTGTTAAGGGGATGGAGTAGTGCTAAAGTTCAGCGTAATGATGACCTGTACCCTTTCTTCGTGCGGCGAAACGAACTGACCAGTAATCAAGGAATATTATTTTGGGGTAATCGAGCAGTTATTCCCTTGACGGACAGGCAGGAAATTCTCTCTGCGTTGCACGCGCACCATCCCGGAATCGTTAGAATGAAGGCTTTAGCCCGCAGTTACGTCTGGTGGCCCGGTTTGGATGCAGATATCGAGAAGGCGGTGAGTCAATGTTTAGCGTGCCAACATACGAGAAATCCCCCCCCACGATCGGACGTACATCACTGGGAGTCTGCCAAGAAACCATGGTCCCGCTTGCACATTGATTTTGCCGGACCTTTCCGAGGGAACACGTTTGTGTTAGTCGTCGACTCTTTTACGAAGTGGCTTGAAGTCTGCCTCGTAAAATCGACATCCGCGTCAGCTGCAATCACCTTCCTTCGGCAACTGTTCGCCACCCATGGCATTCCGGATGAAATCGTGTCCGACAACGGAACTGCTTTCACCTCCGAGGAGTTTATGTTGTTTACAAAAAACAATCGGATCCGTCATATCCGATCCGCGCCGTTCCACCCTGCAACCAACGGACAGGCTGAACGAATGGTTCAAACCACGAAGAGTTACCTGAAGAAACTAGATCGTCAAACAGATGTCAACTTAGCATTGGCTCGTTTCTTGTTTGACCAGCATACTACGCCCCATTCCGTTACGAAGCATTCGCCAGCGGAGTTACTATTCAATAGGGAGCTCCAGACATTCTTTGACAAATTAAGTCCAGGCGAAAGATCATATGGTAAGATCTGCGATGCCCAAACTAAAAAGTCTTTTGTTACAGGCAGCCCTGTTTGGGTCCGAAACTATGCAAGCGGTCCCAAGTGGCTTGAGGGCCACGTCTCGAAGCGAACGGGACCGATTCGGTGTGTCTCGAGGACGACCGAACAGTCAGGCGACATCTGGATCAGCTGCGATTGCGCAGTCCTTCGCAGCAGCCAACACCAGAGCAGACAGCATCACCAACTTGCTATTCCACTCCAACCCCAACTGACGCAGTAGCTGGCGGATCCTCAACTCCAGCTGGGCCACAGCGCTTGCCTGAGCAAGGCGGGACTGAAGGACCGCCACGCAGATCGGCCCGTGACCGTCGTCGGCCCCAGTTCTACGATCCGTCTGGGTGTTAAGGGGTGTTATGTATGCGACTGGATTCTCTCGTGCGGCGATCTCGTTCGACTGAAGTCAGTCTTCACTCAATCGTGAGCCACTGCAGATCGAGCTGCAGTCACGGCCATCCATCATTTCCCCGTCATTATAATAACCCCCAGTACTAATTGTTACTTCCATTTTCATTACTGAATTATATTGAATAAATTTAATATATGCTTGCGCATACATAAAAGGTACCTTACACGCTTTGCACACCTCACAATTGCCTACGTAGTCCTTCACGTCCCTAACTAATCCTGGCCAGTAATACATCCGTCGAATCCTCTCCAGTGTTTTATGGATCCCTCCATGGGCTGCTGTGGGACTGTCGTGGGCTTCTTTCATTACCTCCGGGATCATCTCGTTCGGCACCCATAACTTCCACGCGAAACTCTCGCCTAGCCCTACTTTCTGATCTTGTTTCGCCCGCCGGAAAAGCTTCCCTTCCATGACTTTCAAGTCTGGCACCGTTTCCCTATTAGCTTCGACCGTGTTCCTTAGAGTCTTATACTCATCCGTCTCGAAAAACGGAGATTCATAGTCCATCCCTAAGCCGGCGACTACCTCCTCCTCTGCTTCTCCTTCATACGCCCTAGACAACGCATCCGGAACGACATGAAGTTTGCCTTTCCGATGTTCTATTTGGAATTTATACGCCTGCAGTTTCGACGCCCATCGTCCCAGCCGAGACCTTAAGTCTGGTTGTGCCATGAGCCACTCTAACGATGCGTGATCTGTAATCACCGTAAATCTGTGTCCCTCTACGTAAGGTCTGAACCGCTTAATACAAATAATCGCGGCCAGGGATTCCTGTTCCGTGACGGAATAGTTCCGTTGGGCCTTGCTCAATTTTTTCGAAACGAAGGCAATTGGGTACTCTTCCCCTTTCTCTCCTTCTGTCTTCTAAACCAATACTCCGCCGATCCCATAACTGCTTGCGTTGCAGTGGATGTAGAACGGGTTTCCTAAAATCCGGACTATGCAAAACCGGAGCCTGACACATTGCGTCTTTAAGTTTTGAGAATGGCTCCAAACCCGCCTGCGTCATCGTAATACGACATTTGGGTCTCATCAAATCGGTTAGAGGTGCTGCTATATCCGCATAGTTACTTATAAATTTGCTATACCATCCGGCCATGCCTATAAAACTGCGTAACGCCTTCAATGTCCGCGGAACAGGGTAATCTACCATGGCAGATATCTTCTCGGGATCTGTTCTTATGATGCCTTCCCCGATCACATGACGTAGATACTTGACAGTCCTCATGCAGAAATGGCTCTTTTCGATATTCAGCGTTAGCTCCGCTTGCTTTATGTGCTTCGCCACCGTCGTCAGGACCGCTAGATGCGATTCGAAAGTATCGGATACGACGAGCAGGTCGTCCAAATACACGAATACCTCTTTCCGTAGCGCGGCCGGAATAACTTTATCCATGAGTCGCGTCATGGTTTGAGAAGCATTCATGAGCCCGAAAGGCATGACCCTAAACTGGTAAAGAGGCTTCCCAGGAATGGTAAAAGCGGTCTTATCGCGTGAAGCTGGTTCCAGCGGGATCTGCCAGTAAGCGTCCTTCAGATCCAAACTCGAGATGAACATCGCTTTAGGAAGTCTGCTTAGGATTGCGTCGATCTGTGGTAGTGGATAGGCATCGCCTTGGGTGAAGCTATTCACCTTCCTACAGTCCAAACATAACCGGACTTTGCCCGGCTTCTGCACCAGCACCACCGGCGACGACCAAGCACTTTGCGATTCTTCGATCACCCCTAGCTTCATCATTCTCTCGATCTCTCCGTAGAGCAGCTTCTCTACTGCCGGAGACACCGGATAATGCCTCTGCTTTACCGCTTTCGTCTCTCCAACGTCGATACTATGGCTAATCAAACGGGTTTTGCCCAAGCCTAGCTTGGCGAAGGATGGAAACAGCTCTATCACCGCCTGTAAACTCGTTTGCTGGGTTTCGGACAACTTCTGCCTAACCGAAACCTCGCCGATCTGGAACTCCGAGGGCAAAAGTTCGAAACTCTTCCAAAAATCAATACCTAGATATAGATCTTGGCTTAACGTGGGAACTAGGTAAAAGGTATGAGTTTTGCTTAGGCCTTTGAACTCCACATCCGTCGTCAGCTGTCCCACAACCTGTTGTCGTTGACCATCAGCCGTGCTCACTGTTGTTCCTTTCCGCTTAAAGTCTGCCTTGCTTTTTATGAACCTTTCTGCGAAACTCCCCCCGATACAACTGACCGCTGCCCTGGTGTCAAGCAGACCCAGGACTACTTCTCCTAACAATCTAACTTCTGCAAATGGACGCTTGTCCGAAGTTTTATACCTTATTGTTTCAATTTTCCTTAACGAATTCCAATATTGTCTTAACCTGTTAGTGTTTCTAGACCTAATCATATCGTCTACCTTGGCTTTACTATGCTCTCCTTCGCGAAGCTCGATGTCGCTCTCTTCCTTCTCTCCTACTTGTCCTTGTTTGAGCCTAACGGAATGCGCTGGGGTGGACGGTCCGGTGCATTCGCTTTCCCGTTTTTTTGACATTTCGGACAAGATGGAAGGAGGGTCACAGGTATCACGACTGCGCAGGAAAGCGGAAAGTCTTCTGTTTTGGATGCGGGTCACCTAATGTGTATAAGGTGACCCACATCCAAAACAGAAGACCTTCCGCTTTCCTGCGCAGTCGTGATACCTGTGACCCTCCTTCCTGCATTTCCAGCAGATGAGAGCCACAGCCTCCACTCCGTCTGTTTTTTCGTCAGTGAACTCTTGGGCCTCTTTCCATTCCAGATCACTGCCTTACTCCGCTACCGCTTTGCCGGAGGCATAGCCCCTATGCGAGCCTTTGTCTTCTCGTCTCTGGGTTTCTCCATATGCCTTCTTTGTCCAACCCGGCTTTGACGAGCTGCTATCTCGACGCACTTCCTCTAAGAATCGCTCACGACGCCTGCAAACTTCTCGTAAGTGGCCTATCGAACTTATTGATACATTCAGTAACTCGTGGCGGATCTCGGACCTGAGATTTCTTCTAACCATTTCTACTAGGGTGGCTTCGCTCAAGGGAACACTCAACCCATCCATCAGGTGCTCTACCGCCTCGTAAAATGAATCAAAATCCTCTCTTTCGCGTTGCTTTCGGTCTCTTATTGCTTCACGTATGTCCTCATCCGTTCTATTGTCCCTGAAATGATTTCTAAGCGCGTCGCACAACTCGCCCCATCTCATTCCTCTTTTTAACTTATGGAAACGCCAGTAAAATTCTCCCGCTTTACCGTCGAACAGCAAGCTCGCATTACCGCACAGAGCTGAGAAATTACTATCCAGTGTTTGGTGGGTCAATGCTTCTATCCGATAGATGAAATTATCGACAGTCATCCCCTCTGGATGTCCACTAAACCGAATCTTCCAATTGTTTATAATGTGGCCCACCTTATCTGGTCTGTACGCTAGGCTTTGTCCTGCTTGTTGCCTTATACCGTTCCTAAAACTGTAACTTTGATCTTGAATCGCCCCTTCATTATCGTAAATCCCGCTGGGTTGTTCGTGGACTCCAGCTCTCACTTCTTCATCCCTTTCTGGACGCTCCCTTTGGTGGAATAGTCTGTCCACCTGTGCCGATAGCTGTTTCAGTAATGTCGCCTGCATGGCGCTCACTGATTGGGACACCAATGCTTGCAGGACCGCTGTGCTTCCTAGAGATTCTGCCTGAGATCCTGCTTGGCTAGTCCCGCAGGGTGAGTCTGGCCGGCGAGTCTGCTGGCTCGTACTCGCAGCGGTCGTGTCACTTGCCGCTTGGACTTTCTCAAAGCACACTACTTTGCACGTCGGGCATGACGACTTCGACCTGGCATGTGTTGTTATGCATGTCTTGTGAAATTCGTGCCCGCACTTGGTCCTGGCTCTGCCAGTTGCCATTTCTTTGTTGCATATCATGCAGATGGGCATCTTCATGGGTGTCGCTGCCCCCTTCTCTGCCTCTGCCGGATTCATCTTTTCGTATTTTACTTTCTAAATCTGAAGATACACTAACAGATGCTCTCTCTTCGACTACCACAACTCTGATTACTATTAATATGAAACCAAACTTCGCCCTCGTTTAACTTGCCTACCGCCAATACACGCTGCCTTTTGTTCTTCTTCTTTCTTCTTTGCTCCTCATTCTGATCTGTTCGGGAGGTGGCTCGAGCAACTCCCCTCTACGCCTCTTCGTCGCCCGTCCCTGCTATTCCCAGGCACCGCGAGTCAACTACGCTACGAAATCCTACGCGAGATACTGAACTGCTACTCCAAACTATTGCTGCTACTGCTGTGGCACCGTGGTCTACCCTTTCACTAAGTGTAGAATTGCATGCGGTAGCCGCACCGCTGCTGAGGCTTTTGGTCTGGTTACTTCCATGCTACTATAACCAGCCGAAATGAATTGATCGCAAAACATGGCTGCGTTTAGCCATACTGAAAACATGGCCACTAAGTTGGGCGCCAGAAAAATTTATGATAATTATTACTGTAACGAACAGTCGACCTGGTGAGGTGGCATCTTTGGACTAACGGCTGAGAAAAGGGGTTGCACGCGGTTGCCAGCTAGGCCTCGTCGGCTAATGGGTGGGTCATATAGGGCCCCCTCTCTCTCCCTGATGCTTACCTCGAAGATCATAAATTCTATCGTTAATAGAATGCGTGCACGGCCTCTCGAAATGCGAAGGCCAAACATAGTCCTCTCAAAACAGATTTTATTTAGATCCTCAAGATCATCGAGAACGCAAAAGTTGGGGGTGGTACAGCGGCAAGGCGGTGGCGAATTAAGCGAGGCGAATTATTTTTCTTTTATCTCATTATAAAATTCATGTTTATTAGG